TTCCATCAAGTGGCCATTTTTTGTTTCTTCCTCATGCCCAACTGCTGCTTCCTGCGCCTTCCATCTGCTGCTTCCTGTGCCTTCCATCTCAGGTATCACCACGTTCCAGCTGGACATCAAGTGCGCCGGCCTCACCACGGCGCTGCTCGGGCGCGCCCTGACCCAGGCCAAGGCCGGGCGTCTTCACATCCTGGGGGAGATGCAGAAGGCCCAGCCAGACGGCCCGAGAAAGGAGATTTCCCCCTTCGTGCCGACCGCGACCATCATGAGCGTGGACCCTGACCAGATTGGAAAGGTGAAGTATGGACGTCATTGGCCTGACGTTGTTGTTTTGTCAAAGATCTTTTTGGGTTGGTCTTCTGACTGTGCAATTTTGTACGGTTGAAGAGCTGTGGTTTTTGCGTTTCTCAACGATTTGTTCGGGTTGGTATGTGATCGTGGGTCCTTCTCACCGTGTTTTCGCCTGTCGCTTCTCATCTCGAGCAGCTACTCCCTTTGTGTGTCTGTTTCTCTTCCTCTTTCTGTCTATCTATCTCTTTCGCTGACAAGAGGTCAGCAAGGTACTTTTGCGACTCGAACGGGTAGCGTTCCGGACAGTTCCCTGTGTCTCGTAGGTCATTTGCGTGAAGTTCCACAGCAGTAGGCAGGCATGCGTTCATTAAATTCTACCTGATTGGGGTCTGGTCCTTATGAGGACCGCCCGCCTTCTCCCGAACCGTGCCTTACGTAAAGCGTCAAACATCGTGCACCAAAATTCGAGGATTTTTTTTTTTTTTGTCTTGACTTCAAATCGGCGCTCACAGCACTAGTGCCGTTTACTCCATCCAAGTGGTCACACAGAAGAGCCGCTCTCTACCCTCCCCTCCTGCGGTACTTTGCCTTTGATTTTTAATGCGAGAAGAGTTCAGCACTCTTGGACAGAGTTTATTTTCATCATGTACTATTGATGTTGGCGTCCGTCGCACGGCCGATTGTTTTTTGTGTTCATATGTTTGCACTCAAGGAATGGTCGTACCTAAGCGACGTCAGCGTTGGCGCAAGGGTATTTCCGAGCGCTGTCAAGCTCATTCTGCTCATGAAACGTGGGATTCATGGTCCACGTCCGTGCCATGTATACCGGTCTGTCGGCCGTTTCCTGTTCCGTGCTTCCCCTTGCTTTGCTGTTTGTGTGTCTACTGTGTCGTGCCGAGCCTTGCCTACTCACAACTGTTGCTCTTGCCTCGTGTAAATGTTCTTTATGTATGTATTTCCCTTCACATCTTCTTGCCGTTGGCCGGCCCTCCCCTCCGCTCTCAAGATCATCGGCCCGGGAGGCAAGATTATCCGCCAAATTATCGAAGACTTTTCGCTCGACGGCATGGATGTCGAGGAGGACGGTCGGGTCATGATCTCCGCCTTCAACAGCACCAGCGCTGCAAGGTGAGGGGTTTGCCTTTTTTTCGGTGGAATTTTTTTGCTGTATTTCTTGTTCCTGCGCATGTCATATTTTTGTCGCAAGCGCAGTCCTTCCTTTGCATAGTCGATCGAACTTCTTCGTCAGTAGGTACTCCTCCTTTTTTGTTTCAGCAAACGGTAGCCTTCGACAGCAAGCACTGCAGGAACGTCGTCGCGAAGTTGTCGCTGTTCTGGTTGTTTTCGTCGAGTGACGAAACGATCCGATCTCTGCCCGGTGCCTTCCCGAGTCCGACTGACGCAGACGTCTTCGGTGATCACAAACTAAAGGAAACAATATCAACGGAAATTCAGCCGTATCAACGATAAACTAGCAATATAAAACAAAAGGCAGCTGTATTGGAAAGCCCATAGAAGTTCCCGAAAATTGGAAACAAGTTTGCTTTTAGTATAGCCCTAGTCGCGTAGCATCCGTGTTTCAGGTCCCACAAACACAAATATGAAAAAGGGGCTCCGCGAAAATCGATGGTACCCCGCTCAGGCCCCCATGATGGGTTGGCCTGTGGCAGCATCTGGTGCACACCTTCGTCACCGGTGGTGCTCCTCACACAGATGTTTACGTGCCATGGAACCTGCGGGATACCTCAAGCATGTTGTGTTGTACACACGCAATCGTTCGGTTTGGCCTGGTTTTGGTCTGAACCTGGCAGAAGCCGTGCTGTCAAAAACGAACGAGCTGCTGCTTCAAGCCCGTTCCGCAGCTCTTCGCTCTAACTTCACACGCTGCTATCCGCATGCGAAGGAGTTGACGAACTCGCTCGAGACTTCGCTAGAGTGGAATACATAGCGCTTTACCTCGCGCTCAAAAAACGGCCCGGTCCAAATTTTTTATGCCACCACGCCGTAGAGACATGCGGAAGGTTGCTTTTGAAGGTTGGCAACATTCGGATCGCCACGACNCAGCACGGCTTCTGCCAGTTCGCCTGTGGCAGCATCTGGTGCACACCTTCGTCACCGGTGGTGCTCCTCACACAGATGTTTACGTGCCATGGAACCTGCGGGATACCTCAAGCATGTTGTGTTGTACACACGCAATCGTTCGGTTTGGCCTGGTTTTGGTCTGAACCTGGCAGAAGCCGTGCTGTCAAAAACGAACGAGCTGCTGCTTCAAGCCCGTTCCGCAGCTCTTCGCTCTAACTTCACACGCTGCTATCCGCATGCGAAGGAGTTGACGAACTCGCTCGAGACTTCGCTAGAGTGGAATACATAGCGCTTTACCTCGCGCTCAAAAAACGGCCCGGTCCAAATTTTTTATGCCACCACGCCGTAGAGACATGCGGAAGGTTGCTTTTGAAGGTTGGCAACATTCGGATCGCCACGACAGCCGGAGTTGTTGACGAATAACGGCCTGTCCCACAGGAATCTGGCCGCTGCAGGGGCTCCGCGTGATCGATGCCTGGTCGTAATAAGAAAAAAGAATCGGTTTTTGTGGAGACTTGCAACACGGGTATAGTCGACAGAAAATGCTGGACACAGGAGGAGGAACCGAAACTTGATTTTTGAAGGGAGAACACCAAGACGTGCTCCTTAAATTATCGTTCAAAATATGTCGCCACATGAGACATTGGACGCCCAACGTCGCCTCATCATCTTGTTCATCGCTTTCTCTCTCTCTCTCTCTCTCTCTCTCTCTCTCTCTCTCTCGCTCGCAGCGCCGTGAAGTACATCGAAGAAATGCTCAAGGACGTAACGTTACGTGGGGGGGGTAGGGGAGGCGCCGGAGGCGGCGGCGGTCGGTCTTCTCGCGGAGTACCTGCCGACTTCAACACGACCGCGATCATCGGCACCACCTACAGGTGGGATCTACGTTTTTTTTTTCTGGTCCAGGGATTACAACAGCGGCGACGAAGCTTTCAAGGATGCCAGCCGTTTTTTTTTTTTTCAGACCCAGAAAAGCGACTGGCGTTTTTTTTTTGTAGTGGTTTCTTCCCTCTCCATGCCGAACTCTTCTCGTAAGGCATTTGCTAACAAGTGTCCTGGAGACCTGGAGATGTTTGTCGTTTTGTCTACAGACGGAATTGTTTAAGAGGGTCTTAAAGGCAGTTGTTTTGCATAAATCTCACCTGCCTCGTTTGGGGAACACGAAGTTCATTGACCCTTCGTTTCCCGCCTTTTGTGTTTTGATATGTTGTCACGAAGCCGTAAATTGAAAGTCAACATTTATATGCGTTTTTTTTTTCCCGTCGTTGGACTCTGTCGTCTGCCCCTCTGGCCCCTATCCTCCACGTCTTCTAGCTAGACGACCCAACCGGGGTCACACAGGAGGGGGAGGTTGGACCCCCTTCTGCGGTTCCTGCCTGAGATATTTTTGTCGCAAAGGGGAAAGCAATTCCTTCCCTCGCAACTTACGAAGTCGATTATTGTTTACTGACAACGAGCTTTGCAGCGCGTCGCTTTCATCGTAGACCAGGAGTTATCTTGTGAGAAAAAACTCACTCTGTCGGGACTCCAACCCATGATCTGGCCCTTAGCAGGATGCCAGGGTACCCCACTAGACCACCGGGGCGACTGGTATGTTATATGCATAGATACATGGTGATGATTACCGTGCTGTTCACCCACCCGAGCTTGACTGAAAGTTTCGGTCGGTCGAAAGGAGAAATGCAAAACCAAAAAAGACGCTACGGGAGATTCGAACTCCCGACCTCTACCACCCTAAGGTAGAATCATAGCCAACTAGACCAGCAGCGCCAGCCGTTTTCCCGCGGCAATGAACGTCACGTAAATTATCGTCTTTCTTAACATATGCTTTCTCTTGAATTCCCGTACCCCTTTTCCCTCTATGCATACGTACACTCACATGCAGAAAAATCGTTTCTTTTCCGTACTTTTTTTTGCCATACCCCTTTTCTTCGCACCGCGCTCACACGCAAAAGTTGCAAAAAATTCCTTTACATTATCAATTTCCCCTAATCCCTTGCAGTACTGCTCTCATTGCTCCACGCGCAAGCAACAACGGCGTGAGTCCCCAGGCCGAGTATTTTGTTTCGTCGCCCTGACCGTCGTAGCCACTAGGGTATCTATTTTCCATCAGTGATGACGCCTTCTCTTATTTTATTGCCCCACCTCCCTCCCGCGATGCCCACCCTCCCCAAGGGATTGCGAGGTGGTGTCCATCCAGCCGTTCGGCGCGTTCGTGGAGTTCGCGCCCGGGCTGGAGGGCCTCGTGCACGTGAGCGAGCTGGACGTGAACCGCGTGGTGACGGCGGAGGGGTTCTTGGCGGACAAGCCGGCGGTATGAGGATACGTGTGCGGCGTCCCCTTGCCTGTCTTGTCTGTCCCTCCCCTGTGGCTGCATGGAATACACGCCGCCCTCTTCCTCTCTCTCTCTCTCTCTCTCTGGAGCGAAGTTTGTTCGTTTCTTCATGGGGGACTACCGAAGCCAACCATCCCTCCCCATGGTGCCTGCTGTTCACTTCTTCGTTTTTCCATCTCCTTGTATTCGTCCGCTTAAGAGTGTTTTCTCACACCTCTCATCCGTACTTGTTCATCCTACCGTCTCCATCTGGATGACGATGACGACCAGCTTATGTTTCATGCTCGTGGAACGTAGCCTTGGCCAGGCGTATCGCTCCCTCCCGGCTTACGAGGTCAACCGTCTAACGACTTTTTGCGTTTACATGAGCACACCCCCCTCCTTTGACATGTGCATCCATCCCCCCAATACGCAGATCGACGTGAAGGTGATCGGGCTCAACGATAAGGGTAAGGTACGTCTTAGCCGCAAGGCCGTCCTATTGGAAGAGCGGGGAGGAAAGGCGGGAGGGGCCGACGTTCCGAGCCCCCCGCGAAAGCGGCCGAACGGGGCCCTGGCCGGCGGGGGGGCGCTCGGAGTGGTGAAGCGCGCCGCTCCTGCGGCGGCGAAACCAAAGGCGGTGGGGGCGGCGAAGAAGGAGGTTCCGCTCTCGGCGGCAGTAGAAGGGCCCTCCGGCGGCGGCGGCGGTGAGGGAGAAGCGCCGAAGAAGGACGGATGAGACCCCCGAGGGCGAACGATTTTGAAAAAATGTGGAAATTGAACGTGGTAGTGGGTGGGTGACGTCGGTGCCACGTCTTTTTTATTATGTCATTTCGTCGTTTAGTGGCTAGGGAGGAGAACGCCTGAGGAGATTCCGTTGTTGTAGCGGGTCGTTCGTGAGGCTGTGGGACAGAGAGCAGGAATTTAACGCTAGAAGTTTGTTTTGTTGTGTGCGCGTTGCGCGTTCGCGGAGTGGTAAGACTCCAACGCTCTACAATGTGAAGCGGTTGACTGCTTCGTGCTTCGAAATGAGGTACGTGTTTTTCGCGGCTTGAGGGTTAAAAGGGATCAGCATGCACCGTTTTGAGTGATCCGCAGTAGGAGACAACGCCTCTCTCTGTTTCCGATATCCCGTGGGCTGGATCTCCTTCACCCACCCCAAGCCTGTAAGACTGTCGTAGACGGCGTGTTACGTTCGAGATGACGAGTGGGTCTCGCGGATGCACCGAATTATTTTTTTTTTGCTCTCTCGCCTTTAGGATACTTGTGCTAAGGGCGTGCACCAGCAGTCTCTCATGAAAACTGACCGACGTTTTCAGGGATCAGTACGGCCGAGATTCGTGCCCATGGAGACAGTCACTCGGTATTTCTTCCATGTATACTTTCGTTCGTGCGTACCTGCAAGAAGCGTCTCTCCCTCAGAGCGCTTGCTCCCCTCTCCCTGGCTTATCGGTTCCCGTAGCACACCGCAAACCACTCGTGCTTGCGTTTTCCAGTTTATGGTGGCCATAAACTGGCTCTATTCTTACACCAAAATGTGACAATGAACTCTTCATAACTTCTTTATTTCCGGGGTAATTACTCTCTGCGCGCCTGTCGCGTGACGACACGAAGGACGTCAACTGCGGGGGTAGAAGCCCTGGGGGGAGTCTCCAGGCTTTCCGTAGCAGGAGGCCTCATTTCATCCCAAACTTTGCATTGTCGGCATTTTTCATAAGTATCTTTTCTGGCTTCACTTCAAATCAGCGCCAATCCGTGGTCACACAAAAGGATTGCTCTCCCTGAGGCCCCCTGCCCACCCCTCCTGTGGTAGGTTGCCTTCGATTTTTAATGCGAGAAGAGTGCAGCACTCTCTTTCCTCTGTGTACACACGAACTAGCACTTTCCATCCAGCAAGGCCAGGCGAGAGAAAAACTCACTTTGCAAGAAATACAAGCTCGCTTCCGCCGGGATTCGGACCCCTGACCCTGACAGTACCACAAGGAAGGTCTTCATTTTCAAGCAACTGACTATGATATACTTTACCGGGGCGACCGGCACAACTATTCCTCAGAAATATAAATTAATATCTCCTCAGCAGGACGTTAGAATTGTCCGTCATGTCGCAGCATTCATTACTCGCAACCTCTTCTAGCTTTGTGCGAGCTGACCTTCGTGCTAAAAAACTCTTCCTGGGGTCGAAAGTTCATTTTTATGGCGGCTATAAGCTGGCTCTTTTTAAAAGTGAAAGTGAACTTTTCAAAACGTACATCCGAAACTCGCTAGTGGCAGGAAATGGAAAAAGGAAGGCCTGGAACTTTTCAGGCAGCCGGGGTAAGACCGGGATGAAGCGGTACCGAGGCAGATCATTTTTTTTATTGTTATTGGTCGGTCGCAGCACCACCAGCACAGGTCCATCTCGCAACTCCTCGCCGCACCACGGACCAGATAACTCAGCACCGGTAGATATCACTAGCAGCTCCTTTCCTTATCCAAAACAACCAACGATGGATGGAGCACAGACGACATTCGATACAGTGAGGTCGGGGGGGACGACGTGCCAGCAGCGACACGTGGCTTTGCTCTTTGAAGGCACCTCTCTTGCCGCTGACCCCCGCCGTCATGTCTTTGTAGCGATGTGCTGTTCTCATGACGGCAAAAGTCTAGACAATATCTTTGGTGGCAGTGGTGTCTCTCCTGCCTTAGGAGGTAGCTGTAGTTTCCCTGTTGTAGCTCACGTTTCACTAACGAATTCGTCGGTGGCGTGTCGAGGTTTTGTACCTAGTTCTTCCTGTCGCTCAAGTTTTTCGACCAAAATAAATGTACTGCCTGTAGACTACGTGTTTCTATTCGTGTCTTCACCATGCACACCGATGGGCTCATGGTCAATGTAGCGTTGAGCCCCTGCGTCCGGATAAAACGGCCGAGTTTGAGGTCTCCATCCAACCGACTTACAGCTTACACGGTAGTTGTGAGTCAGCTCCCGCCATCTGACGTAGAGAACCAGTCATCACGTCATAACATTAAGAAACATCAATATAAGATAACATCAGACGTCGCGTGCAGCCATGGAACAGATCTAGACTGAGCCGTGTTGCGAAAGTTGCATGGACTACAGCAGTCTGCAGCATGTACATCGCCTACGGGTCAACCTTCTTGTCGACTCGTCGAAGTTTGCCAGTTGGATACATCAAGTTTCCGCCTCTCTCCACGCCCCGTTTCTGCCCGCTCTCCTCTTGGTGCTTTCTGTGCTCGGTGTCTCGAGCATTGACACACATCATCTTGAGAGATGGGAGAATGGTGGGGCTATGGCGCTGGCGGCGGGTGTATGGAGGCCTCCCATTGGGCCATGCGGCGGGACTGATCTGTAGCCCCCGCCCTAAGGCAAGAACGCCTCCTCCTCTTGCCGTTCATTTTCAAGCGGAGGATCTTGGTGGCCTGGGCCCCCGCCGCTCACACAATCTCACGAGGCATTCAGCAGGAGCGAGACGCGCGAGCAGAGAAAGGGTGGTGAAAACACGACCTAGATCAGACTACCGTACGATCACTTCTTACTGTTGGCACGCGACGAATCAACCTTCTCGTCGCATCTCCCGTCCGTCCGCGCATCAGCCGAGGGAGAGGGGGAGAGAGCGAACTCAGCTTCGTTGACGATTTCAACCGGTGGATCAAACCGAGAATAGACAAGCAGACGAAGCATAGGCAGCCAAAGGGACAGAACGGCACCAGCAGAAATGAGCAGGAAGCTTCACGACCGTAGCGCACCTACAAACTTCGCGGTACTTCGTCTGTACCATCGCCTTGGGGCTTACTGAGGCAACTTTTGGGAGCGCGACGGGTAGGCTGTTTGGTTGCAGATATAAGCGTCTGGTTCAGACAAGGGAGGAGTGGGACCGACTCGACAGGATAGTCGTTCAGCTCCCTGCCGGATTGACTATCAAGCCCATCACGTCAAGATTGGGCAGCATCACTACGCAGCATCGGAGTGAATACTGTAGGAGCAAGCACATCGGTTGTAGTCACATCATCAACAATGGCGGTCATCGTCGAAACTGGTGGCGGAGGGTGGGATACCCAGGAGCCCAGGGACATGTGAGTGTTGAGACCCTCTCTTGTTGTAGGCTTCGCTTTTAGTTTGGTAGAGGGAAATATTGATAAGGCGCTGGGATGCTTCTACTGGTTCACTTCGATCACGGCGATGTTCTTGCCCCCGTGTAGACTAGGTTTTGTCTAACTGCTGTGCGTGCATCCACGCCTGCCTCCCTCTCGTTCAGATAGATGTGAGATCAGATGCCCAGTAGGACACGATGTTCGTGAGATCCATCTTCATGCCAAGCACTGGGCGCAACAAAAAAGCCTCTTCTACCCGATAAGGTGTTCTCAACAATCCAAGTGGAGCAGACCGTGGCGTAGGGCTGTGTACCATACACACAAACAATTGACCCTACTGTCTAAATGTAGCCGCGGGGGGGATGGGGATATGTACCATCTGGCGTGATCCGTTCAGCCCTGGGCTTTGCATCTCGTGAAGAAAGAGATATGAGATATTTGTATGTGCCGAAAGATGTTCATGTGTCGAATATTTACTGTCTCATTTGTTGCACATATTTCCGACGGGAGGGTCTGTAGGTCTGTGATGCTGTATTGTACAACACATGACAGACTGTAGGAATACATGACGGTGTCTCCTGGATCCGGTACGTTCCACCAAATAAATGTGGATGGATAAACATAGGCTCAAATACAACAAACAAGCGCCACATCTCACACTCTCTTGGTAAACTCGCCTAAAAAACAACGACGCAAGCCCGTGGGCACACGCCAAAAGCAGACAAGCCCCGGGCCAACAACAACCCGGGCAAAGGCATGATGCAGTTTATGTTGTTTCTCGCACCCCCGGGTAAACACTACGCTATTTTTGTACCTTATTGGGCTAAATAGAACCTAGAGGCGTGGACTACGGGAAGGGGAAAAAGTGGCATACGTAGACAGGCCACACATACAGAGGTCGCATGGAATGAAGGGTTGCTGGCGGGAGAACTGGTAACAAAAACGTTGAGTTGGAAACTTTGCTGTGAAGCCTCAGTGGAACCGGCCGTTCTGTGACAATCGAGGAGTACGATGGTATTTCTTCAAGATGAGAAGCACCACTTACCTTGGATGGATATTTCGACTGCTGACATAACGGGTTTTTCCGCCCATCCCCCCGCTTCGATTGAACCCCGTCCTAGCCAGCCGTTGGGGAGGCCTTCAAACGCACCGAAGTTGCGACCGTCCCCCGCTGTTAGATATACTCGCAGCAGTATCTGGTCGTGAGGATCCCAGGGGATACGTGTTGGGAATTTCGTGTGTAGTAGGGTACCACCGGTGCAGTCACGGGGATCCTTTTGGCGTGGTTGGTGCGATGGAGCTTGCGTGCGTGCTGCGCACTTCTTCCCTGTCTCTCTCCACCACCACCGTCTCTCTCCAATCAAGTTTCCTTCTCCCACTCTCTCTCCAACTCTCTCTCAACCTCTCTCTCTCGGTCTAACACGGCCGACTACCCAGTGCCCCAAGTAACGTCCAGAACGTGCTTGCTGCACCCCGCGTAGTTTACCTTTCACCCGCCTCCCGCCAATTTAACACAGGCTTTTGTGGGTCGTGTGTTCGGCGACCTACCCAACGGCCGACCAGGCCGGCGCTCAATAATAGCGGGGGTATTGGCGGGAAAACCTCTTCTATGCGAAGTACGGGTTTCGTAACGATCGAGGAGTGCGATGGTGTTTCTTGCACGTGGGAAGCACCGCTTATCTTGGATAGATATCTTGATTGCTGACACGGGTGTCGCGACCCTCCCCCCGGCACCAACTTCAACAGGCTTGTGGGAAGGGTTTTTCGGGGCCTCCCGAACGGTCGGCTTGGACGGCATTCGGTGAACGCGACGAGATCGCCGGTTGGCCCCGGAACTAACGGAACCATCGACTCCATGTTTTTTCCAGACCCTCGGGAACATGAATACGTGGGAGACTCCTCGTACACCCCAGAGAGAAGGCGAGCTACTACGTAGTTTCCGCAACAACGCGGCCAATCCACACAAAACCTTAATGCACAACCAACAAGCCGGGGTTGATAGACCCGCTGCCACTCGCTCGCTTTGTGTTGAGTTTTTCATTCGCCAAAACCTCACGCCTCCCCCCCACCCTAAAATCATCCATGATTCTGCCCGTTTGGTTGGTTGCCATGCCCCAGGATAGGATGGTGTCGAGGGGGTCGGCATTCATGCGCGGATACCATTCTGTTGTCTACGGCAATTTCCCTTCGTCTTGTGTCCTGTCGATCCCTGTCGGGGTCGTGTTTAGCTGCCGGCAACACGATGTGGTTTTGCATTTTCGAATCGAAACACTATGCAGTCATCTTCCCGTCCCTGTGTTTTTTGTCAGAAAGCGATCGATGCGTGTTCAAAGGCGAGTGCTGCCCTGAAGAACGGGGCGCCGTTGAATCTTCCGTGCAGGTAACCATAGTACAATAGTATGCGCTCGATCGATACCCCGAATATTTGACCACACCATGGATTGAATGCGCGGCAGACCCGCCCCCCTGACGGACGTCGAGTTTTTGGTTGGAAACGCCTCTGTTTCTCACCCCCTGTTCCTGGACACTGTATTTTCCGTCGCTCTTTGACGTTGCCATCCATAACAACCAGGTGCCGGTGTGAACAGCACCGCCGACAACGGCGAGAGCGGTGGGGTCGATGGCTTGTCACACGACGAGTCACCGCCGCCGTCCCCTTCTCCCGCTGCTCCTACGGGGCTGGAGGGCCTAGGAGACCCGGTCGTTCAGGAACGACTCATGAGGGAGACGATACTTCTATCCCTCCTTGAGCCCCCGGAGATGGGGGCCACGAGGGCCAACAGGAAGGCCGAGGGCAGTGGGATGATCGGCGGGGAGGTGTATGCCGGCAGTCCGGAAGTAGCTGCCGCATCCATGGCGGTCGGGTACAGCTGTACCTACATAGCTAGTGAGACGGTGACTATTGAGAGCTCCGTGTCTCACGCAGGAATCCCCTCGCCGGCGGCGGCGAGAGCGGCGGCGGGAGCAGGGGGGGCGGCGGCCGGTGACGGCCTTGGCGGCGCGGCGTCACCGCCGGGTGTTGGTGGAGGCGGGGACGACGCCAGCGGCGGTGTTGGTGACTGCGGCTACGGCGGTGGAGGCGGCGGCGGCGGCGGAGGGCAGGCTCCGGACTCCCTGGCCATGGTAAGAAGTAGCCTTCTAGTATTTGATTTCTAGCTTCAACAATACCTGTGTAACGGTACGTTCGTGTTTTCCAGTGTAACATCCAGCGTCGTGGGTGTCGTTTTGTTTTCGCTGGAATATTGCTGTCGGCTAGACGGTGCGGCGTCGTACCAAGCCCCGACCTTCGTGATATTTTGCAGCAAAGTCGCACCCTTTACAACAACCTGCTTGTCCCCCTCCTCTCGAACCTCCCCACCGTTCCGAACCCCCCCCACCCACGTGCACCCCGTCCGTGCAGTTCGACGCTGCGATTCAACCGTCTCTTCGACAGGCAAGACTCGATCTTCCGCTCGTGGCCGTCGCCACCCCGCGGACCGTCGTCGACACCACGCCCGCCACCGCCGCCGTCGTCGCGATCACCGCCGTCCCCGCCGTCCCCACCATCCGAGCCGCTGCCGCGTTCCGCGCCTTCGCCGGACAGCCACACGTGGCAGCAGCAGCAGCAGCAGCAACAGCAGCAATAGCAGCAGTGGCCGGGGCACGGCGCCGCCGAACTGCCGTTTGCCTTCTCTCCCGACCGCATCGGTTTGGGAATGGAGTACCAGCCGCGCACAAGAGGCGGCATCGCCACCGCCGCCGCACCCGCCGTCCGCACCGTCCCCGCCGTCCCCGCCATCGGAGCAAGTCAGCCTCGCGGATTCCGCCGCGTGGCTGTTCGTGGTCAGCCCCTTGCTGGGAGAGAGAGCGTGGACGGGTGCTGCTGCTGCTGCTGCCGCTGCTGATGCTGCTGCTGCCGCAGTCTTGGACGCCCCCGCTCCGGTCGCCGTCGCCGTCCACAACACAGCGGGGGGCCGCGGTGGTGGCGGTGGTGACGGCGGCGGCGGCGGCGGCGGCGGCGGCGGCGGCGCTGACGATGCCGCAGCTGCGTCGTCGACGAACCCCTTCGCCACCTGGTTCCAGTGTGTCCGTTCGCCGAGCCCGGCGACGGGGGGGATCTGCCGGGCAGTGAGGGCGGTGTTGGCGACTTTGTCGTCGTTGGTGTGTCCGTGATTCGAGAGGATGTACGACGACGAAGACGACGATAGCCAGAGCGAGAGGGAGTAGGACCGCGGCAACGAAGGAGGCGAGAGCAAGGGAAGCGTCGACAGACACAATCAAGTGGTGGGGTGCGCCAGAAGAGCACACGTTGTCTGTCTAGGTGAACGGCGGGTACCTCCATAGTATGCGTAGTCCATACACGGGCATCGCGGCCCAAAACAACGCGAGATAGTAGCGAACTTTGTTTGGTGCAACTTGTACCGCACAGCCTTCTACGTACATGTAGCAGTGGGTGATTCTTGTGTATGGTTGGTTGCTGGTGACGTGCTCCTCGGATTGGATTGTTTCCGCTATAATAGTATCAAACTGATATGCGTAGCTCAGTCATTGCGCGGTGGTAGCGGTAGATAGCAGCGCGTTGAACAGCGGTCGCCGCTTGACCCGAGGAACAAAAATTAGTTATTCGATTCTCTTGCCCCCTTGCGTTCCCCGCACTTCACTTCACGTCTATCCTAAGCATTCGAGAATGCAGCATTTTTTGCTGGTTTTGTTGCTTTGAAGTATTTTTCCTTCTTTTTCAAGTATTTTTTTTTCTTTCTTGTTTTTCTTTTAGAATGTCTAATCGTGTAATCTATTTTTGATATGGCAGGTTATTGAGTTTTTCCTCTCCGACCTTGCGATTGCGATGTATGTCTGCTTGACTGCGTGTTTTTCCTGGTGAAATGCCCAGTTAATCTGGAGAGTTTCGCAGCTATAGATCACGACATGATGTAATTCCCGGCGCTTGGAGCTGGTTCCATGAATTAATACCGCGAAGGGACCAATGTTCTGATTCATTTTCCAGAGCAATGCCGGGAACGTACTACAACATTATATCATTCTATCGCACGGGGGTGCGATTTCTCCTACCCATGCGATTCATTTTTCAGAGCAATGTCGGGAACGTACTACAACAATATATCATTCTATCGCACGGGGGTGCGATTTCTCCTACCCATGCGATATCTTCGACCCCTGTGTTCACTCGCATCCTATCCGACTACTGCTGTGAATAAATAGACTAAACCTTGCTGAATACGGAGTTTTTTGTCAGTGCTGTAAGGCAGCTCTCGAATCTGGATTGCCGCGCTTCAAATCACACATACATGGTGGCCACGAAACACGGCTAAGAGGAAGCCATTCGGGTGTGCCGGAACGAAGGCAGGGTGATACGAGACGAAAACGATGTATCAAGCATCAAGTAAAAGGACTGTCGTTGTTTTTCCCTCCCGGGGGGGGTGGGGGGGTTCGCGGGTCCGGACGGCACACGCGCCGAACGTGCTACGTAGAATCACACACCCGCACTAATGTTCGGGCTTGGTGGTTTATTGCAGCATTTACATCGGATGCTTCGCAAACACCCAGGTCACTAGGCGTCACTACGGCCCAGTTTCACACCGCTACCGCCTGGGGTCGTGCTTGTCGAGCATGTCGTGCAGTGCAAGATACAGCGTTCCGAGATACAATCCCTCCGAGGTCTATTTACGGTCTCGTGACTCTTTCGTTTAACCTAGGGTCCTCACATGGGATGTGTCACACACCCTGGCCAACCCACCCCAACCCTAACCCTAACCTTCACCAACGGCCTACGCACGGCCTACACAGCAGTAGCGGCCGCAGCGCAAAAACGCGAAGAGGTCTGCTATCCACCTCTTGGAAGCAAAGGAGGAAAACTGACAGTCCCGCGGTGCAGAATTGCCATTACCTTCTCCGGGGCCGTCTGGTCAACAGCACCTCCGGAGCTCGATGAAGTCGCCACTGCAACGCAACCGAATGATGACGCGCCTAGAAGCACCCGACTGCTGTGCTGTGGTGGGAAGTGTGGCAGCAGTGCAGGAAGTAGGAAGAGAACACTGGTGCCGGGAGTTCATAAACCTACAAGAGGATTTCAACTCGGGGTTATAATTCATGCGCCCGCGTGACACAGAAGGTGAGACAACCACAGAACGACCGAGAGAAACACAGAGGCAGAAAGGCAGAGAGAGAGAGAGAGAGAGAGAGAGAGAGAGAGTGAAGGCGAGCGAGGGAAAGGGAAGGGCGCCTGCCTCAAATCGATATGCATCTCCTGCTGCTATTGATGGCGCTTCTGGTGCAGGTGCGCCAAGCATGGATCGTGCCCGCCTGGTCGCCGCTCCTGGCCGCACCACGCTCCAACGCGCTAGCGGTAACGGTTGCTGGGAGCTTGGGCGAAGGAGATGCGGGGATGGACAGCAGCGTAGTGAGAGCTCGGCTAAGCAAGCCCATCGGGCTCATGCTAGCGGAGAAGGAAATAGGCAAGCCCGGCCTGAGAGTGGACGATATGGTCGAGGGAGGGAGCGCCGAGGTTTGTTTGAAGAAATATAGTATTTGTCACACCCTCGCTGCGGTTGCGATCTGTTGGTGTAACCGCCGAGCACAGCAGTAGCGAAACTAAGGAGTTCCTCCCCCTTGTAGAGTCCCCCCCCCCTCCCCCATTACCTTTCCTGGAAGCATGGTTTCGTTGATTTAGCCCGGGGTTTGTGGTTGTTGTTGTTGTCCTCACATTAAACCGTATGTCAGTTGCTATATGCCAATATCTAGCAAAGACTCTCAGCCCGTGGTCACGAAAGTGCTATTTATAATAGAGCCATCTGAGGATCTAAAGAACACACACACATAAAACGAGAAAAAGGTATCCAAGAGCCCGAAGAGGTACACCTAAAAATCTCTGCAGCACCGTATGAGTGCCCAAAAACTGAACTGCACGTCCGTCCCACCGTTCGACTACAGCAGTAGCATCACCCCCTCCCTGTCCCACTCTATACCAAAACGGAAGGTTGCCGACTACAGCATACTGCTGTCTGAAGTGCTGTCTGTACAAAAACACCATGGAAGGCATGGAACAAGCAACTGGCGGGGCATAAAGCTTCTATCTGAAGTGCTGTCAGAATGTGTCTGCGGCCGTACAGTGAAAAAGAACAATCAACCACAGCCATGATAGCAGCAATTGACAATCACCCGAATCTCTCCCGATCGTCTGTGTTAGGCACTGCAGTGAAAAATATCGACACTAGCTAAGAATCGTTCCACATTGAAGGGGTCTTCCACGATCAGGCACAAAACCAATGCACCCGGGTTAGCCACGCCATCTCTGACGGGTCTCTCTACAAAACCGGTGACGATGGCATCACACAAAACCAACACGGAAAGTCAGAAAAAAAACGAAAAAAATTGACAACACAAATGTTTGTCCGTGCGCCACGGGTCGATGTCGCCCGCATGCTCCGGTGCCATTGCTCCATCCGGCGCCGCTGTAGTCAGCCCGAGCAAAACGCCACTCGACCTGCTCCGTCCGTACACGCTCTCGTCGCTGTCCTTCCCAGTCCGTTCCTCGCTTTCTCCCTCATTGCNTACACGGAAAGTCAGAAAAAAAAACAAAACAATTGACAACACAGATAGAAATGTTTGTCCGTGCGCCACGGGTCGATGTCGCCCGCATGCTCCGGTGCCA